CATTTTTATCATTTATTGATGAAGGGATATTTTGGTAAATCGTATGAAGCAATTAAATTTGCTGGAAAGGTTGTTTCCAGGATCCAATCCCGTATTGGATTTAATATGTAAGATTGGTTATTTATTTAAATATGTATATTGTCATATATATAAATAAACTATCAATATTTATATATATATATCGGTGTATATATGTTTTAAATATTGAAAGAATGTTATTAAAGGATAAAAACAATAACGGCTCTATACCCGGGATATGATTTTGTTTTGGAATCATGGACACTAATGATTTAATTAGTGGATGGGCATTATAGTAAATAAGCCTTCAAGGGATTTTTAGGGCAACCCTATTAAAGGGCACTTTTCCCTAAAAATCAAAGATCACTCTCTCATTTCTTCTCTTGGGCGTGGAGAGCATAAGTTCATTGAGAGAAGTTTTTCTTTCAGCCCTAATCTCACTCATCTTTTTTAGACCTCACATAAAGATCTAGTAAATCTCTTGTGTTGAATCTTGCCTTTGTATGGATACTAGTGGTTCGATCCTACACTTGGATCGTGAGCGTTTTTCATCCGGATCTTGAAAAAGAGGTGGAGCCTCCAAACGTGGGTAAGGTTCTAAATCATTCATGAGTCTTATTTGATTTATAGCATATGAACATCGCCATACTCGTATTTGGATTTTGGGGCTTACAGTGTTTAATCGGTAAATTTTTATTTTCCGCTGCATTGTTCTTCGATTAAAGCACTAACATACATAGCTGGACCGATTCATCCACCAAGTGGACCTTTTCACTACTTTATGGTATTGATTGATACATCGGCGCGATTATCGCATGTTTGTTTACTATCTACCCATAATGTTGCCTTTGCTAGATTGTTGCAACAAATTATTAGATTACGGGCACACTTTCTAGATTACCCAATTAAAGCAATCTGTTTGGACAATGTAGGTGAGTTTACCTCAAAGACATTTGATGACTATTGTACAGCAATGAGAATTGATATTGAGCACCCAGGACCACATGTAAATACACAGAATGGTATGGTGGAGTCATTTATAAACCGTATCCATTTAATTATAAGAACTTTGCTATTATGTATGCAATTACCAACTTCTGCCTAGGCTCATGCTGTTTTACATGTTGCGGCGTTAATTCTTTTTGCATATTATCAATACTTTCCAATACAGTTTGTATTTGGACATCAACCTAATATATCCCATTTAAGAACTTTTGGCTATGCTGCAGTTCCAATTGCCCTCTCCCCCCCCCCCCCCCCCCCCCCCCCCCCCCTTAATGCACCAAAATGGGACCCCAATGTTGTTTGGAAGATTGTTTGGCTATGACTCACCATCCATCATCAGATATATTGAGCCCCTGATATGTGATCTATTTACCGTACATTTTACGGATTACCATTTTGATAAGACAATATTTCCTTCTTTTGGGGGAAAGATAAAGCCTCTTGAAGTAAGGTCTGAACTTTCTTGGAAAGTGAATTCTATGTCTCATTTAGATCCTCGTACATCTCAATATGAAATTGAAGTGCAAAGAATAGTATATTCACAAAATATTGCCAACCAAATGCCTGATGCATTTACAGATGTAGCAAAAACAATGAGATCATACATTCTTGTTGTCAATATACTAGCAAGGATTGATGTTACCAACAAACAATCCATGTGGGCAGTGATCAATTCATTTGTTACACGCCAAAAGCATCATAGGCGTATTGGAGCCAAGGATACTATTCCTAGGAAACGAAAGGCACATAATCAAATATGTGCCAATATTGACAATACTGGAATAATAAAAATTTCACATCTTCTAAACTAACTCCCAAAGAGTAATAGTCCTTGAAAGGATACAATCCCCTGAAGAAGAACAAATCCCTAAAGGAATACAAGAACATAAAAATGAAGAAATTTCTATAAACTATGCGCATAGTAAAGAAATGTGGAATCGTGAGACAACTATTGCTGATAACATATTCCCATATGTAGTAGCCACTAAAATTATGAATGATAAGTTTGATTCACATTTTGTTGATGAATGTCGAAAGAGACATGATTGGACAAAAAGGGAAGAGGCAATACAAGAGGGTATTTACAAGGAAACGGAATGAGAAAAATGAGATTTCTAGGTAGAAGGCCAAAATAGGGGCCCAAGGTTTCCTATAGAGACCTGTAATTGATTTCAATGAGACGTATTCACCAGTGATGGATGCAATCACATTTTGATACTTGATTAATTTACCAGTCTCATAAGGACTTGATATGTGTCTAATGGATGTTGTCACTGTGTATTTGTATGGTACACTGGATACTGATATCTGTATGAAAATCCCTAAAGGATTCAAAGTGCCAAAAGCAAATAAAAGGAAAATGTATTCAATAAAATTGCAAATATCATTATGTGCGTTGAAACAATCAGGAAAAATGTGGTATAATCGTCTTAGTGAATATTTGATGAAGGAAGGATACATTAAAGATCCTTTATACCTGTGTGTCTTTATAAAAAGGTCAGAATCATGAGTTTCAATTGTGGCAGTATATGTCGATGACATGAACTTAATAGGGACTCCTGAAGAGCTCACAAAAGCTACTGAGTACTTGAAAAGAGAATTTGAAATGAAGGATTTTGGGAAAACAAAGTATTGTCTTGGCCTGCAGATTGAGCATTGTTCATATGGAATTTTACTCCATCAATCACATTATACTGAAATGATCCTTAAGCGATTTAATATGGATAAATCTCACCCCTTGAGTACCCCAATGGTAGTTCAGTTTCTTGATCCTAAAAAGGATCCATTTCGTCCTAAAGAAGATGATGAAAAGATACTTGGTCCTGAAGTACCGTATCTAAATGCAATAGGTGCATTATTATATTTTGCACAATGTATGAGACCAAAAATAGCATTTGCAATAAATCTATTAGCAAGATTTAGCTCTGCACCAACTCTTCGACATTAGAATGGGATTAAACATGCCTTTTGTAACCTTAGTTGAAGAAACGACTTGGGATTACTTTATCCAAAGAAATCTATTAATGATTCTAAATTAGTTGGTTATATAGATGCTGGGTACCTTTCTGATCATCTCAAAGTCTGCTCGCAGACGGGATATGTATTCACTTACAATGGTACTGCAATATCATGGCGCTTTATAAAACAAACATTTATTGCCACTTCCTCAAATCACTCGAGATTCTTGTGCTTCATGAAGCCAGTTGAGGATACGTATGGTTAAGATCTGTCATCCATCATATTGAAAGTACATGCAAATTGCCATGTACCTCAAATGCTCTCACAATTATAAATGAAGACAATGCAACATGTATTGCTTAAGTCAGGGGAGGATATATCAAAGGAGACTGAACCAAGCATATTTCACCAAAGTTCCTTTACACTCACGAACTACAACAAAATCAAGAGATTGATGTCAAACAAATACGCTTCAATGATAATCTTGCAAATTTATTCACTAAGGCCTTACCGACATCAACATTTGAAAAGTTAGTGTATGGCATTGGTATGCGGCGGCTCAATAAGTTACTAAATTAATCTTGCCATTATGAGCGTGAGTTTTAGAAAAAGGTTTATTGTATTGGACATATGTGCACTGTACTCTTTTTTTCTTGATCGGGTTTTGTCCTATTGGGTTTTCCTGACAAAGTTTTTAATGAGGCAGTATAAAGCATGTCCAACTTCATGCTACAGTTTTATTGTAGAGTTGTATTTTTTTACTTAGGTTTTTTCCCACTAGGTTTTTCTTGAGTAAGGTTATACACTTATCTGTAAATAGTAGAGGTCCAAGGTGAAATGTTGTAAAATATTGTGGACCTCTACGCTTTAAACTTTGAGGCGGTGGGGCAGTCAAAAGGAGGAAGGGTGTTTTCTATAAATACCCCCCTCCCCTTCATTCTAAATTGAATGTAAAAATTTGAGAGGCTTTAAGCAAATATTAATTAAGTCGCATAGCTCTCAATTCTTTTGCTTTATTCCTTCTCTCTTTTATTTGTTAATTTATTCTTTTATCTGAGTTAATTATTATATAACAAGTTCAGATAATGCTTTAGAAAGTCTAAAAAGGCGGCCAGAGAAGACAAAATTTAATGGATAAAAATCCATTTTATCCATAAAAATGTTCATTATAATGAATTGAATTATCAATGTCATGATCACGGAAATTTCATAATATTATGTAGATTTATATATATGATTCCTTTTGAGCTAGCTAGTCAGATTCTTAACTTCCCTTCATTTTCTTTCATTGATTAAAAAAGACAAAATAACTGTAATTTTGATGAGTTTGATATTTTGTATTCAATCTTTCATTTATTTTATGTCACACTACTTTGTACAAAAAAATCTTTATAAATTTCTTTGAAAATCTAATATTATTGTATGCTCATATCATAGAAGTTAGTATATTTTATACTAATTTTGTTTGGTTGCCTGTTGTGAATCCTAATTGACACGTATAAGGATCTAACTCTTAACTATTTACTTGAAATTAAGGTGAATCTTTTCAAGTCAATTATGGATAGAATTTGAGGTGGGTGGTCTGAGTCCTCACTCAATAAAACATTATTGAATGGGAGGATTATCTCCTTTTATAAATCAGTAAGCTTAAGTGTGCTTAGTCAGCATGAGACTCTAATACTCCCTCTCATGGTCAAGCTCATATGTTAGGTCATACTTATTGATGGAGGTAGTTGCTGGTTCTAACTCCTCACCCGCTGGTCAAGCACTCAGCTCAACTGGACCTAGCTCTGATACCATGATAGAATTTAAGGTGGGCCTGACGACTCATCCAATAAAACCTTGTTGAATGGAAGGATTATCCCCTTTTGTAAACCAATAGGCTTGAGCGTGTCTAGTCAGTGTAGGACTCTAACTGTTGTCAATTATTTTAAAGAATTTTCTTTTTCTTAGTCACAAGTCAAACTAGGCAAAGAAAAACCTCTAGAGTTTATCAATTGAAGCTTCCTATATATTCATTGACAATTAAATTTATACAAGTATGTAATTACATTAAACAGAAGATTAAGCAAAGACAAATTACAAATGAAATCCTAAGCAATTAACACACTTATTTTTAACTGTTTCTTGGCTTTAATTTTGGGATTGATTTATCGGCCCCCAAATTGAAGATTGACAGTTATGTTTAACTGTCTCTTTTCTTTAGGATTTGATCCTTGTGCAACTTTGCCTTCTTGGTAATTCTCTTCTTTCGTTGTCTCGGCTTTCCTCTCTTCATCCTTCTCCTATGGAATTACCTAGAGAAGTTAGGTGAAGTCTCGACATTTATTAGCCCCCCCACGATATCAAATTTGGATTTTCTTTTTCATTTTCATAATCTAGTTTATATGTGGGATTTGAACTTAAAGCCTTCGGCTCTGATGCCACATTAAAGTATCGTCTTATATAAAAGTTTAAGTTAATAGGTTAGGGTATTGAGATAAAAAAAATATATATATATATATCCTAAGAAATAACACAGAAAATGGAAGACTTGGATCTATTATTGTAGGCAAAAATTAATACTTTGCCTTTGGAAATTGCTAATATGGAAAAAGATGGGCTTGGAAATGTCCCCAATAAAAAATTGGTAGGACATTTTCAAGGGTTAAAAAATATATATATTTTTGTTGTAGCAGCAAGATAATATATTAATGTGTATGATATATATATATAATTCATAATTTTATAAGATGAATGAGGTTTTATTAGATTATTCTTAACTAAGAATTGAATTCACAAGTGAGAAAACCGATTGAAATTAGAAATAGAATGACAATTAAACAAGGAAAAAAGACGTATAGTTTACGTACCAATAGGTTCTCTTCTGCAGGCCCTTTCTCGGGTGACTTTTTTTCAATTTTCTCTTCCTTGTTTGGCTTGGATTTATTCTCCGATTCCTTTTCATTTGCCTTCAGATTTTTTACCACCAAGAAAATAATAAAAAAAGGCATTAGCCTAAAACTGTTGAAGCAATCGTCATTAAAAACCCAAAAAAAAAAAAAAAAAAAAAAAAAATTGGAGTAATATATCAATAAAAATTTACCGGTTGCTTATATTCTGCCTGCTCACTCTCACGTTTTTTCTCCTTCTCTTCCTTCAGTGGTTCAGCAATAAACATTTATCAAATCAACCAATCTGATGTATAAAAACTACAATTCAGTACAAGTTAAATCATCTTTGGCTCTTATACAACACTGTAGTCTATTACATGTTTTACATTTTTAGTTTACAAGTTTTATGTTATGGGTTTACACAATTTACGTTGATGTATTAATTAGCGAAACCCTCAAACTTGGAATATCATGGGATGCCATATTAACTTACATGAATTTATTAACTTATGTACCATTGACTTGGTATCTTGTGTGATAGTCTAGATTTTTCTGATGTGGAAAAATATGTCCTCCTAAACTCAAAATTTTACCAATACCTGATCTTTTGAGGCCTTCTTCTCTTCCTTCATCAGCTCAGATTTCTTGTCCAATTCCATTTTTTTTGGCTTTCGATTTTCATTTGCACCACAACAAATTAAGTCAGCCAAATCCATATTGCTGAAACCGTTAAAGAAAATTTATAAAAGAAAAAAAAAACTATTAGTGAAATTTTATTACCGGAAATTTATGTTCTCCAGGCCCTGTCTCAGGCAATATTTTTTTCTCCTTATTCTCTTCCTTTGTTGGCTCAGATTTCTTCTCCAATTCCATTTTGTTTGGCTTCAAATTTTTATATATTTAACATATATTGGTAAAATCATTCATGTAATAACTGATGAATATGGCACATAAAAAAAGGTAAAAAAAAATAATACTTCTTGTATACGAGCAATACAGTGTAACTTTACCAATGGTTTGTGTTCTCCAGGCTTGGTCTCAGGCAATAAATTTTTTCCCTTCTCTTCCTTCAGTGGCTCAGATTTCTTCTCTGATTCCTTTTGGTTTCTCTATAGAGTTCCATGACCACCAACCCATAAAAAATAAAAATGAAGAACATAATTAGTTGACACAAAACAATGAAAGCTTTTTTTGCTTAATAAAAAACAAGTAATATTTTACAAGTAGCTTTTCTTCTGTAGGCTTGATCTCAGGATTTTTAGCCGCCTCTTGTTTCTTCGTCTCGGATTTCTTCTTGCTTGGTTTTGGAGTTTCACCATCATCATCAGCACAACACCAACAAGGGCAGCATTGTTTTTGCTACATCCATTAAAAGGATATAAAATTATTATTTAAGTATGGCCCTTACAAAATCAATGTAAAAACGCCCTTACTCGAGAATTATACTATATATATATAGTAACTTAATATTTACACGAGAAAGTTCATTTGTTGGAATAAATAATAATTACCCTTTGTTGGAAAGAAAGTGATCCAAAGATGAAGTAAATTGAATAAAATAGAGCTCTGTAGCCACTTAAATATTTTCCTTATAGATTTTCCTCCTTATTGTGAAGACTTAGACTAGAAAATCAAAAATAACTGCACAAATACTTACGGTTTTAAAAACGAAGCAGCAAATCCGAGAGCTAGACTTGTGTTCACAGCAGTACCCGCAAGGCATCGATGATTTTGTTCAACAAATTAAGGGAAGAGAAAAAAACTTCTTCAGAGAAGACACTTCTGAATTCAATTAAATTCAAGGTTAAAATGTATGTATTAAATATAACATTATCATGAAATATCAGTGTTATAAAACATGCTTACATTGTACACATTCCTTGATTCCCTTCTTACTTAACTAGACATTCAAGCTTAGATATCTGACTGGATAATAAGATAGAAAGTTGGGGAATACTTTTTTGAAAGCAGTACGTTATCCAAGAACATTTGGGACGATTAAAGTAGCACCAAGCATAAAATGTCTTATTCTTGGTGTGAAAAGTTGGAAGTAGTCAAGGTCTTTTTTCATAAGATTAATTTTTAAAACCTCAAAGGGCCCATATTTGGAATGCCTTAACATGTGTTTCAGAATATTGGAGAATAATTTTGTAAGAAGATTGCTTTGCTCCTGATATCTATCCTTGTCAAAAAAAAAAAAAAGCATATGTGATTTGAACACGAGAAGCATATATCCATTTGCAGCAAAAGGGCACTTGGTGAGAAAGTTGTTGATTGTGAGTCTGTGACCAAAGCTTCTTCTTATAAAGTTTCAAACCATAAATTGAAGAACTAAATAGAATTTTTTTTCTTGCTTAAAGACAAAAACTAGAAAAAATGAGTGTAATAGCCGGATTTGAGATAAACATCTTAGGAAAAATAACCTATTTGACGCAGAGGAAGCGTCGTAATAGATGACCACTATGTCACTGGCGTCTGGCGCTATACATCAATTATGATGCCAAAACTGGGTAGTAAAAATTGCATGGGTTCGATAAAACTTAAAAAAACCATAAATTCATCGGTTCGATAAAACTTAAAAAAAACCACCGTCGAAGGGTGGCCGGAGTCGTCGTATCGGCGCAGGACCGGCTGAATCTTGCCGGTCGTGCGCCGATATGGCCTTTTCTGGCCAGATCCACAGTGGATCTGTCGGCAAAGGCTAGATCTGGCCATTAACGGCCAGATCTAGCCGTATTTGCTCGTCAACAACAGCCAAAGATACGGCCGTCGTTGATGGTCAATGACGACCATGTGTTGGCCATCGTTGACGACTGACTACGGCCAACGGCCAGATCTTTGGCCTTCGATCTGGCTTTTTCGATGGATCTGGTCGGAAAAGGCTAGATCGGCACACTATCGGCCAGATTCAGCTGGTAGTGCGCCATTATACCAGATTCTGGCCATTTTCCAATGGTGGTGGCCGGAATCTGGTAAATATAGGTTGTTGGGGTTTTTTTGTAATTTCTAAAAAAATATTTAGGGGTATTTAATTAAATTAACAAATTTAAGGGGTTTAAAAAAAGTTGAATAATATTGTGAGTTTTTGCAATTTTACTATTTAATTTTATTAGGAATACTAATAGTAGTATTCTCAAATGTGAGCCAAAGAAGTTTTAATTAGTCCAAAAAATGAGATTGAAAGAAAGAGAAATTGTTTTTTTTGTCTTGGCTTGCTGGGTTGTATAGCCTTACTGGGGGCAGTATTTTTTTGCTGGTTTCTGTGGTTACTGCTGTCGGTGTATAGGGTCTGCCGAATTTTTTGTTTTTATAGCAATATAGAGTGCTTTTTCCTATGCTTTAGATTGCTTTGCTGCTGGGCACCAGGTTTGGATGTCATTCCTCGTTGCTCCATTCTTTTGTATTCCGCAGCTCCTTGGCTTGTCAAAGGGTTGGCGTTAGGTTGTAAATTTTTATTCTTTAATTTAATTACTGTGCTTACGGAAAGAGATGTTGATATGGAGTAGGCAATTCATATGACCAGTGTCCATAGCAATTGTTGATGAATTCTATACAAAGTTTTCCCTTCGAAGTCCAAGGCACTATACAGGGCTGGGGGATGTGCAATATAATTTGTATCTTCTGCTCATGTTATAAGAAATTATTTGATATTCCAAATTTACTGAAATTCTCTTTAAACTTTAATTCTCTAATTTACTATTTACTTTCTCTCAAACTAAACAGTCACATTCTACTCATTCCAATGCTGGAAGATCCTCATTATACGTAGATTAAGAACTCTTGATGGGATAGCAATAATAGGTATTTTATATTTTAATTCAATGTCTCTTAAATCAATAATAGGTATGTCATAGATTAAGATCATTATTTGAATATTATACCTTGAACCCCAAAACTTAATTTTGTGGTTCGCATACATAGATGGTTGTTTAAGTCCTTCAAAACTCTGAAAAGGGTTTATTTTTGCCCCCTTAAGAGATAGTTAAGTCTCATGCGTCACATCAATTTTTGAAAAATATTAGAAAGACCATGATCAAGGGTTTTCCTATACTTATAAGGAGGATTTTAATACTTACAAAGGTTCCATGTTTTAGGGGTTTTTTGATAATTTTAGAGAGGTATCTAATACTTTCCCAAAATTACTGAGGCGCTTAATGTTTAGCTATCTCTCAGCAAGTGAATAAAATTATTCCCTCCGAAAAATTTAAAGTAGGGAAAATCTAAAATTGTATTTTTGTTTTTTCCAAAAGTCTATTCTGTAAATATTATTTCCATGAGTATTGCCTTAGAAACTAGGCAACAAAATGAAAACCCTCTAAAGTGAATTAAGGCTTCCGATCAATTGATAATTAATACAACCAGAAAAACAAAGTACACACTTGATACTGATGAGTAATTGATGGAGCTTCTAGCATTTCTGATTATTTGCGTTTCCCACAATTCATTTTGAGAGATATTGAGCACTCTTCTTTCTTTGCCTCTAATAAACCTAAAGACTATTCAGTTTAAAAATAAATCTAGAACTCTAGTCATTCTTCACAAATATTCAGATATATCAACAATAATAACAATGACAATATGAAAAATTAAAAAAGCATAACATAAAAGAAAAGGAACACAAAGATTTATAGTGGTTCGGTAATAAGATTGATTACCTACATCTACTCTTCAGAACAGCAAGCAATACTCAATCACTAGAGCAAGCAAACCTTAAAGAGTTTTTGCCACATATAGCTTAAAAATAAAACCTCTGTTTGTTCTCCTCTGTAAAACCCACATTACCCCTTTTATTTTCTCTCTATCTCCAGTACAACAAATTATTAGCATATATACAAAGGAAAAAAATCTAGAGAAGGGACCATGTGACAATCTTCTCAGCCAGGCCATTCGATTCATCTCGCGATCTCTATGGCTCCACGTCGCCCTCCATTATAACAACTTTTCTCTCTCTGTAACCAAGAGAGAAAAGTCGATAAGTGTGAAATTAAAAATGCACTTGAATGAATACCACAAACACCCTTTCATTGCCCTTATATTTGCTTTGACCAACTTTCAGTTTTTGACTCCACATGTGACTGAAAAAGGTCCAAGTCAGGTGCCACATCATCACAGCCTCAGATTTCTTCTCCACCTCCTTCCCGTTCTCCTGTGGCATTGGAAACTTGAGTATCATTGTTGCATAATGTCACATAACATCCATAAATATTTAACCAAAAGAACTAACAAAACGTGTTAATAAATATTTATGTCTGACACTGAGGTAAGCTCAGCTGCCAACTTAACACAATGAACCAAGTTAGTGGAAGAAAGATTTCATTCAAACGTACGACGCGAACTTCTTCTCCAATTCCTTGTAGTTTTGTTTTAGATTTTTGTTTAACATATATTAATAAAATTACCAACAACTTTAGCATGTAAAAAAGAGGGGAAAAAAAAAATATTTCTCTCAATGAACTTTACCGATATTTCATCGTCGGCCTTCTCTTTCGTCACTGGCTTCTTGGATTTCTTGCACATGCAGCATTTCTTCTTTGGCTTTGATTCTTCAGAAGCAGAACAAGAACAATAGCAGCAACGTTTCTACATCCATACATTAACATGAATTTAATTTGTACAACTAAATGAACTAATCTAAGAAAGCAAAACTACGTGACTCAAATATTTAACCTTGTTACAATATTTTTTTTATCATTACCCTTGTTAGAAAGTGATCCACAGATGAAGTAAATCCAATAAAATCATCAATAATAATTATTGTTATTTTATGATTTCCACCATATTTTGAAGATTAATTTAGCCTTAAAGAATAATAAAAATATTATTGCGGAATTTCTTACCGGACAACAAAGTGGGAGGCAGCAACAAAGCCAGCAAGCCTTGGAGTCGCATCCGCACAAGTATGCCTCAGCCTTCATGATTTTGTTCAATAAAGAGGATTATAGTAAAGTAAGAAAAACACAAATTCCCTAATCTAATCCCAAGATCATGTTAACATGTTCATAACTGTAATCACATTAATGTAATTAACGAACTGTAATAAATAAATGTAATTAACAAACTATAATAAATATAATCACAGTATAAATACCTCATTTCCTTTGTCAATCCAAATTGAAGTAGAACCATTTCCTTTGTCAATCCAAATTGAAGTAGAACGGTAGACAAATTGAAGCAGAACTGTAGATAAAGAGAGAAAAATAGAAAAAAACTTTCGTATTTTGTATATTAGATAGATTAACTGTTTTACACAAGAAAACTTCTTTATACATGGCAATTGTCCTTATCGCAATTGTTGTATATTGGGTGGTAACTGTCTTTGCCAGTTGCCATAAGTGAGTCCCATAATGGGTGTCCCACTTGTTATTTAATATCTCCCACTCATACATGATGAGACTGTTTGTCTTTGTGTTCTTCAAAGTTCATAATTTAGTAAATATGTTGTGTGACTATGCATACATCGAGAGCATATTAGTCATATATCTGTTAAGAATATATAACTTCTCGAATAATGAAACTTGAGTTGTATGTTGTATGCAATACCCTAGATTACTTATCACATCTTATGATATCATTTATAATAAACATCTCTTTTATCACATCTATTAGTCATAAAGATTAAGTAACAATCTCATTTATAATAAACATTTGTTGTATTCATAATTATGTTTTGTCATTACATAAAAGCAAAACATAATTGGTTGACCAATGAATACACATGATTGTAGTGTGATAATAAAAAAATTGTAATCTTCCTCTTTTCTCCAGTCTTGTAGCTTTCATTTAATTTGCTTTTCCAAAAATATCCCAGTAGATTGAATTT